CGGATAGCCCATTGTGTAGCTTTGTGCATAACTACAAAACAAACAGTCGGTAAAAATGTCTTAATAATAATTCAAAATCATTTCATAATCAAGATGACTTAACAATAACAGAACTAAGATTTAGTTTTTGAAGTTTGGATTTAGCTGTCTTGTGATAACAATCAAATAAAACGTTTTGAGACAATGGTAGAATACATTTTTCTTCTGTGTGGACAATACATTGCACCAAATTAAAGTTTATAATAAGTGCAAGCTTTAGAGTGTTATTATCAGAAGGAGGTGTTTTCAATGTAACATATATTCAGAGCTGTAAATAATTCTGAAGTTAAGAACTATAACGTTTAGCTTGCTTAAAAGTGAATAATCGTATTACTTTTCAAACAATATTTTCAACTGATACCACTGTCTATGATCTTAAAAAATATCCTAAAGAAAATTATTTTTGTTTGTTTGTTTGTTTTGAAGTTAAGCACAAAGCTACACAATGGGCTATCTGTGCTCTGCCCACCACGGGTATCGATACCCGCATTCTAGCGTTGTAAGTACGCAGACATACCGCTGTGCCACTGGGGGGCGAAATGACTTTTACTTGCGACATTGGCACTATTTCGCACTAAAGTGTAGTTTGGTTTTGTTGTTTTAGTGCAAAGCTACGCAATGGGTTCTCTGCACTCTGGACACAGCTTGGAATCAAACCCCAGATTTTAGCGTAGTATATAAGTCTGTACACTTATAGCTAACCAAGAGGGGGAAAATAAAAGTCTTGACATAGTTTTTTATAAAAAGTTTCTAAAGGTAAATAATGATTATTGTTTCATATTGCAGAAACTTAGCAGGTTAATTTGTTTTTACTTTACTAGCTATACATAGTTGAAGTCAGGTTGATATGATTCTCATGAACATACCAGATAAATCGATTTTTATAGTATGTTTTTTTTATCGTTTCTAAAACAAGTTACTAAACTTGAAATATCGCTAAAAACAATAAATTATTCATTTGTTACTAATCGATATCATCTTACTGATGTAAAGGTGTCATTCAAAAATGTTTAGTTTCTAAAAGTGCTTGGACACTTTTCATGGCGAGTAGAATTCTTAAAAGATCCAATTTCCAGTGACATAATGATTTTTAAGTTAAATAATTCGAATAAAATTTCTCTTAACAGTATCAAAACTGCAACATTGTTTCGACAATAGTATAAGAAAGTTGACACCTTAAAACTATGAAAATCAGGAAAAAATGCAAATGGTTAAGACTGAGGCGAAACATGTGTCACAATAAAAAATTGATAACTTTGACTATTTGAGATTTGTATTTTGATTATAAATCAAAAATATAAAATTGGTTCAAATATACATATATTTATATATATATATATTGTTAATATTACTTTACTGTTAACATTTTATAATTCTTGTATTCACTTCAAGTAAGAATTCTTTTCTCTTAGATTTTTTTTTTCAAATTTACTTAAAATTATGTAAATTTGTCTTTCTTATTTCCTTTTACTTTGTATTGGAATTATGTCTCTGTTCTGTGTGATTAAACTTATAAAAAAACGGATTCAACACATTTTACAGCAAGTGTGTGGTTTCATAAGTTGGTTTCTGAGTTTTGTGGGTTGCTTTGAAGTGGCTTTTTCTTCATTTATAATTGGCCAGTCCGTTGAAGTTTTAATCAGGTCTTTTGTTTTTAATTTTCTTAAGATTTTTTTATTTCATAGAATGTATATTGGAGTGATTTGTTGCTTTTTTTTCATAATTCAGTGTTAAATGATTAACCTTATACGAAACCCTTTAACGAAAAATAATATTAAGGTTGCAAATGTCTCATTTGTTGTTGTTTTACAAACTAAAATGAGAGCAATTGTTAATTATATGATAAAATGCATTAAGATATTAAGTTATCTTTGTTACAACTGGTTAAATACTGAAATCGTATACATAGGTCAATAAAACACAACATTCATGATTGCGTACAAAGATATCAGCAGGTTAACTACATGATTAAACTCTCTCTTGTTTTAGTTAAAATACGTTTCTCGCGATTCTGAGTTTGCATATAGATTGGTGTACGCCTTGAAAGCTATAAATCAAACACAGAAACATCCGCTTAATGTAATTAAAATTGCCCATTCACAACGTTTTAGTAAGAGTCTAAATTTATTTCCTTAAAATGTAAACAAAAGCTAAGTTTTGGCATTAATATTTTAAATATCTCGTGTCATCATTTGAAAATACTCAATTATCAGTAACATAAAAAATTATACCAAGTCTACAAAGCTAACTTTTCGGTTTGAGATATTTTAATATGTCAGTAATATACGATGTTAAAGGAATTACTATTTTATCTTACCGTTATCTCAAGACCACTTCGCTTGACCCTAGAAACGAACTTTTCTCCAATGACAAATATTGTAGCCAACGTTACTGTCTGTCGTTCTAACTGGGATCACTCTAATGTTCAGATATACTTTTATCGTCCTTCTTTTATACCTGTTTCCTTTACCATTATACATGACAGTAAAAAACTCGTGCCCAACCAATCGTATTTCAAGATCTCTTGCGTCATTTTCTCCAAAAGGAACGCGGAATATAGTGCCCGGGGCAGAGACAAAAAAAAAAAAGAAGAAAAAGAAAACGCGGTCTTTATGGTAGTAGTACTTACACTGGTCTGTTGGTTGCTATGGTAGTAGTACTTACACGGGTCTGTTGGTCGCTATGGTAGTAGTATTTACACTGGTCTGTTGGTCGCTATGGTAGTAGTACTTACACTGGTCTGTTGGTCGCTAGTAGTAGTACTTACACTGGTCTGTTGGTCGCTATGGTAGTAGTACTTACACTGGTCTGTTGGTCGCTATGGTAGTACTTACACTGGTCTGTTGGTCGCTATGGTAGTACTTACACTGGTCTGTTAGTGATGGAAAATATTTGATAGGGCAATCCACAAATTTTGTCGCTCTCAACCATATCGTTCGGTGTCAGAAAAAAAAACCAAAAACACAAAGGTTTAACACAGCACGTGGCAAGTGCAGGTCACAGGTGAGAGTAACCGCATTCTTCTAGTGCATTTTCTTGGCCATCGCATTTACTGTGATCGATAATTGCTGAAGTGTATCTACTAAACAAAATATTTGTTGTTTCACAAAACAAAGTGAAACAAAGATATCTAATATTCCTTTATGCATGGACTTTGTAAATAAAACGACACAGTTGTGGAGTTAATAATTTAATAGCAAGGGTTTATCAACACTTTCCCTGCATGTTTGTAAATATTTTCACTACGGGTATCGAAACACGAATTTTAGCTCGTGAGCCTTCGGACTTACAATTGAGCCACTAGGGGAAGAGGGTAAAGAAAAAGATAACATTATTAAAATGGAACGTATAATTTGGTATTGTTGCAATTAATTGTTTTGATACAATGGAAATATAATTCTAAAATCTGAACTCTTACTGTCTTGAAATGATTAGCACAACAGGCCTAACTCACAATACAGAGTATTAAAATTTTTGATGTTTTACGCAATAGATGTAGAGATAATTTCTAATCAACATGAAGAACATTATTACAAATTAAATTAAATTGTTCAACAAAATGTTCAAATTACTGCCTGAATAAGAGTAGTAGTCTCTATTCAATTGGGCGCATCTCATATATGGTTACTCTAATTAAACAACTTATCTTAGATACTAAAATATTACACTTTGGAAAGATCATACCCGTTAGAAAACAACACAGGATCATGCAGTAGTATGTATTTTTTATGAATTATATTTCTGTAAAGTTAAAGCGGTTAAATGAAGTTTTAACTAATTGTTGGCGTTATAGTTGATTTTCAAAACTGACAAAGCTACCTATTAGATAATCGCTTTAATTGGTTGCTGTAGATAAGCACAAAGCTATACAATGTGCTATCTTTGCTCTGCCCCTACCGCATGATCCTCTCAAACTGTGACGTTTCACAACCTCATAATCTTTCCAAACTGTGACACTTTACTACCGCATGATCCTCCTAAATTGTGACACTTTACTATCGCGTGATATCTCAAATGTGACTCTTGTCTATTGCATGATATTTACAATCTGTGAATCTTTACTATCACATGATCCTCACAAACTGTGGCGTTTTAGTATCACATGATCCTCTCAATATATGTTATTTTACTGCTGCAAGATCCTCCCAAAATATGATGTTTTACTATTGCACGACCCTCCCAAAATGTGACAACTTACTACCGCATGTTCCTCCCAAACTGTGACGTTTCGTTACCGCATGATCCTCCCAAACTCTTTACTACCAGATGATCCTTCCAAACTTTGTTGCTTTATTGTTGCGTGATTTTCCCAAAATATAACGTTTTACTACTGCATGATCCTCCCAAGTGCGAAGCTTTATTTTCAAACCCTTTCAAACTGTGATATTTCACTATAAAATGATCTTTCACTCTGTTCTGCTTTACGTCCGCGTGATAGTCCACACTGAGGCATTTTAATACATCAACATCCGTTCATAATGTGTTGATTTACTCCCTCGTGGTGCTCTTATACCGTGATGCTTTATTTCCGCACAATCCTTCCAAACTTTGCTGCTTTCCTAAAGCAAGATCTTTCCAAACAGGGTCTCCTGACTACGCAGCGACAAATCAAGATCCTTCCAATGTTACCGTGTTACGCAGTGGGAAACCCTGGTGACAAAATCTAAAGCTTGCAAATATTAAGCATTTTACCTCGAAGATGATTAAAATATATATATATATATATGGTCGCTATTCATAAAACCATTTTATTTGCTCAAGACTATCTCTCTGTAGATACAGCATTAAACATAGACTTTATAATGTGTCGTTAGTTTAAATAACGTGTACGTGATGACACACACACATTCAAGCAGCGGTCATGACTGATAAAAATAAGCTTATATGCACTAACAGAGAAACCATAAAGGATTAAGTTAATTTGAAATGTAAACTTCCCTGTGCTTAAATGTATTATATATTTCTAAAATGGCTCGTGTTATCAGTTGATTTTTTTTTCTTCCTGATTAAGAATTTGTTCTTGACAAATAAACTCAAACATGTTGTGGCTTCAAGCTATGTTCACGCATGTTGAGGGTGACGTTTATAGGCTTGCTTTAATACCTTTATTGATAACGGTTTCAAAACAAGAAATGAATATTCGAAGCATAGCTTTACAAGACAGGGCTAATGAGCGATGATTGATTTCATATATTTTAAACATTCACGACGCTGAAGACATGGGTATAATCTATTTTCATCGAGTCATAGAGAAAAATTCCTTATACAACCAGGTTCTGAAAACGGTTGCTACCACATCTTTCGTAGGACTAATTAATATTCAACAGTGAACATTCTGTATATGTACAACAGATAAGGCCGATTACAAGTGCTCAAACACTTACTGCTGCAGCCGTGAGACTGTTGAACTCGGGAGCTATCTGGGTGACACAAACACCACGCATTTGGGCCTGTACTCGCGAAGCTGTAAGGGTGTGCTCACCGCGGCCGAACAAGGTATCTATTGCAAGGCGGTTGTGTACTTTGTAGATAAACTGTAAAAAGTAAACAAAAAACAAAAAAAAATAGTCGAATGCTATAAAGACCATGTTTCTTACTACTTAGCTTCAAGTGTTACTACTTAGCTTCAAGTTCCTGTAGATCTGGATTGATTTATCTATTTAATATTCACATTAAAATCATAAAATTGCGTGCGATAAAGTATCGATGACACATTCAAGTTTTGTTAATTATAGTCACATGAAGCATATCGAAAGTAATACTTTCGTGGTAAATTATTGACGTCAAACCAAAAATAACATGTCTTATAACTATAGATCTAATGATAATATCCGACTATATTTTTATCATTATATGATACTCCATGGTTTTATATTCGTATAGTAAAACTTGAACGGTGACTTGTTTCTGATTAGGAAACTTTCAAAGATTCTTTTTGTTTTCTACACTTGTTTAGAACATCATTTAAATTATTATTTCTTCAAATTCTACTTTGACTTCAGCATGTTTTCTTAAAATGAGTACGCATGATATTTATAAATGTTTGAACCTGTATTCAAGATTTCTTTGAACAGAATAGGCACACAGAGTTTTGTTCGTATATTTCGCTCAAAGCCACGCAAGGACTGTCTGAGCTAGCCCTCCTTATTTCTTAACTGATAGACTAGAACAGATGTCAGCCTGTTAAATCCCCTATTGATGATAGTAAAATAATATATATATTACTTCTTAATGAGCTTGTTGAAACTATGTACAAAAGTAATGTCATTGAATGGAAGCTATATGTGTATAATTAATCATGAACGCGTATTTTGGTTAATTATTAAAAACTTCTGAAGTTCGAAGTGTTTGTTTTTGTTTCTAATAAAGCTACTAAGGCCATATGTTGTATTTTGGTTAATTTTCAAACACTTTTGAAGTTTGAAGTGTTTATTTTTGTTTCTAATAAAGCTACTAAGGCCATATGTCATATTTTGGTTAATTATCTAAAACTTCTCAAGTTCGAAGTGTTTGTTTTTGTTTCTAATAAAGTTACTAAGGCCATATGTCGTATTTTGGTTAATTATCAAAAACTTCTCAAGTTCGAAGTGTTTGTTTTTGTTTCTAATAAAGCTACTAAGGCCATATGTTGTATTTTGGTTAATTATCAAAAACTTCTGAAGTTCGAAGTGTTTGTTTTTGTTTCTAATAAAGCTACTAAGGCCATATGTTGTATTTTGGTTAATTATCAAAAACTTCTCAAGTTCGAAGTGTTTGTTTTTATTTCTAATAAAGTTACTAAGGCCATATGTCGTATTTTGGTTAATTATCAAAACTTCTGAAATTTGAAGTGTTTGTTTTTGTTTCTAATAAAGCTACTAAGGCCATATGTTGTATTTTGGTTAATTATTAAAAACTTCTCAAGTTCGAAGTGTTTGTTTTTGTTTCTAATAAAGTTACTAAGGCCATATGTCGCCGTCTCTAATTCTGAGCTGAGAGAAAGCGGCCTATCGGCACTACCCACCTCAACTCTTGGGGTATGAACAGAACAGTGGCTTTTTTACCGCCACGTTATTTGTTCCTATAGAATAAGTAGTTTTTACGTTTACACCCGTTATATAATTATCAGTTTTATCAGTAACAGTAAACGTTTAGTTTATTTCACATATATTTTAATATGTTTTTTTAGACATACGTAATTAAAAGGCTCGGCATGGCCAGGTGGTTAGGGCGCTCGACTCGGAATCTGAGAGTCGCGGGTTCGAATCCCCGTCCCACCAAACATGCTCGCCCTTTCAGCCGTGGGGGCGTTATAATGTGACGGTCAATCCCACTATCCGTTGGTAAAAGAGTATCCCAAGAGTTGGCGGTGGGTGGTGATGACTAGCTGCCTTCCTTCTAGTCTTACACTGCTAAATTAGGAACGACTAGCGCAGATAGCCCTCGTGTTGCTTTGCGCGAAATTCAAAAACAAACAAATGTAATTAAAAAAACTTAACGAATATTTTTATTTTTTCTTCTTAAAAACGTGGAAATGTTGGTAATTTAAAATTTAACCACTTTATGAAAGTTAATAGGACACCTTCCGTAAGATATTCCACACTAAGTTCTTTTAAGGTTTACAGCGTAGTAATCAATTACTTAAAAGAAGTCGACAAACGCCGTGTTGCTTTTTCTACTAGGTCATGTACTTTTTTCACGGGTCATGTCACTTTTTTTCACGTAACTTAAGAATGAATAGCTTTTCACAAATGTCACGATCTAGTGATGTCCAATCTCTGTCTTTTTTATTTCTATTGCATTCCGTTTTTGTTTTTCATAGAAATGGCCATCAAACGTACCCTTTCTGTTCTTTCTTTCACGAAAGCTTTTAGTTATAAAGAATGTTTCTGAAGTACAGTTGGTTTTAAATCGACGATATAAAAAATTTCTGTCTCTTAGAATTGCTTTTTTATCATTCATTTATTTTCATGCCAGTTCGTAATATCTATTTTCAGTTACTTTTCCAGAGATTCTGACCTCTATATGGTGCCCACAGGACAGAAAACGACACAACGCAACAAAGACTTTTGTTAAGTGTTCACTATATTTTTTTATAGAGTTGATTTGCGACACTGCGTATGGCTCAGACAAGAAGAAACAAGGATAAGCCTAGATTTTATAACGCTTTAAATAATACTAATAATCAAGTTATATCGTTAAGAAAAAATGTTAATTGTTTAGAGGAGTCGTTCTGTTTTTGAAACATCAGTAAACATTGTTTTAATAAAAGAAATGTTCCACTCTTCTTTTTCTATATATGTTTGTGAAATACTTAGCTGCTAATATTAATAATGAACGCTGTAATATAGTTCAGGTGAATAGAAACAAGTTTTATAACCACAATAACTTCCGAAATATATAACACGTAACCGGATTTGAGTAGATACGATAAATATTTATTTAGTATTGATTACAGGTAAACCAAGTTTTCATCATTTCTCTAAATAATTATCCTAGTTAATATTAGACTGATATAAAAAATGAACTTCAAGCAAGCTATTATATAAAAAAAACATGTAAATGAACGATTGAGCTGGGCCGCGCGTGGCCAGATAATTATTTTTCTCCAACTGTTAATCCGGGGATTCACGGTTTGCAGCTCATTGTCACAAAAACTCACTTCGCGCTTTAGGGGCGTGAGTGCGATATAAGGGTTACAGTCAAATCTCACTCTTCAGTCAGACTAAAGTCGCCCAACAGTTGGCGATAAGTGCTGTTGACTATTTGCCTTCCTTCTAGTCTATACCAGTTCAAAATTATTGTTCAACCATTATAGATAATAAAAGTAATGAAACTAATTTAAAAATTTGAATATCGTTACACTTACAACATACAAAACTAGTTCTTTTGCTCCGATGTTCTTTCATTGGTTCTATAGAAAAGCGTGACGTCAGTATAAACGCATCTCTCTCTGTATATAATCATTCCAAGCCACGGCGAGTGACCAATGAAAACCGATTTCTCGACCCTGACAGCGTAGCTTTAAGTAGTTTTGCATTTTACTGTTATAGAATCAGTAGAAACAAAAGAATGGAAAAAAAATCAATTAAATAAGCAAATGAATAAAAATTCACAAATGGTTCAATGCATTAAAAATATAAGTCCTATAACTAAATCAACCAAAGTAGTGCAATGAAGAGAAGTTACAGAACCTACTCCGAGTAGCATGTATAAACAACTTATCTAATGTCTACCAAACACATGGCCAAGAGCGGCAAAAATCAAACCGAAATATGTGAGACATATGAAGATACATAAATGATCACGTTATTAAACTGTCTTAGTAAGTGATGAAATATCAATTATGATAACCAC